CCTATCAAAGCCAGCTAAGGAAAGGCTAGTACTCCCTGGTACGCATAGCTCCTTTATGAGTTCATTTTTATTTCCCTCTGTAATTTCTAGCCTGTTCTGTTACAGAAAAACTTCATCCAAATCAAGTCCATCTGAGTTTATTTCTGTCTCCAGCCATGACGGGAAGGAAGGACCCTAAAGAAAGCTGGTTATTACAAATCTGGATTACATCAACTTTTCTCTTCCTGGTTGAGAAGGACGTTGGAGAGGTCCCTTCAGGTTTAAGCAGCTCACTGTGCTGAGCCCAGCTCTCCTGCTGCCTGGAGCCAGTTCCTGTAGGCTAGATGTACACAGACTGCCCTGAGCCCAGAGCATCCTTCAGGTCCCGTACCTTCGGTGTAACCGGACCGTAGCCTCTCACATGCTCCTGCCTACTCCTTCCGTGGCTCCTGAGCAGTTCACATAACTGACTCTCCATCAGTCAGTTCAACCAATCTCTTATTAGTTGGCCTTGTCTGAGGCAGTTTCCAAAGCCTCTATGGAACATCATCCAGCCAATGGGGATAATGCTGCCTCCTGCTCCTTGGATGTGGGAAGAGCATCATGAGATACTGTCCATAGATCAGAGCGCCTGGCAATTAAATGTGCATGTGCGCAGCTCTGCTGAGGCAGCATGGCTGTCCTCTGTAAGATTTCCTAGGACCTTGTAGATAACATGCAGAGTCCACACCATGCCCCATAGTTCACAGTGATGAGGAGTGGGAATTCTCTTCTGCCCAAGGCATCGTGCGTCTCTCCCCGACCTTAGCGATGATAGTCTTCCCGTCAGTAGATAGGTGTTGCTCTCCTGGGTGTCTTCTGTGCTTTCTTGTAGTCCTGGGTCCTTTGTCTCTCTTCCTTGTTCCCTTGCAGTCCCTGCCTTGTCTCTGTGTCCCAACAGTACACAGCAAAGAGGGCTTGTTCTCATGGAGAACTTACCTCTGGAGAGGTAAAGAGGCCTCTAATCTCAGCTGTCAGTAGTGAAAGGCCCACAGATTCCTCTCGTGCATTTGTTCATATGGTTGTACTCATCCCAGGACTTATCTTGGCAAAAGGAGCTGTTTTCAGCCACCTTGCTTGTGCATATCTTTGCTTTGCACAAGATTTCCTGCTTCTCTGATAATCGTGGTTAGATTTACCAGCTCGTTGCTGTCTCTTCCCTGGGTCCCTGGGAACTAGTAAAATTCTTGCTGGGTTTGACTTACCAATGTAATTTTATATGTATACGGGTGTTTTGCCTGCATGTATGTCTGTGCACGACTTTTGTGAGCCTGGTGACCACAGAGGACTGAAGAGGGTGTCAGATTCCCTGGAATTGGAGTGACAGACAGTTGTGAGCCACTGTGTGTGTGCTGAGAATTGAACCTGGGTCCTCTGGAAGAGCAGCCAGTGATCTTACCCGATGAGCCATCTCACTAGCCTCTGGATTTCATCTTTTCCAAATAAATGAACCACCTTACAGATCTTATCTTCGGGTGCACAGAGATCAGCTTGACATAACTGCAGCCATGTTAAGTCATAATTGCCATGTTTACCCCAAGTAAACCTACCTGTTTTTTCCTGCAAACCATAAGTAGATTAAAAAAAAAAAACCTTAGTGTCACATGACTGTGAAGAGGGGGCTACATTTGGAAACACATTAACCTGATTCTTTGATTTTATTTTTCAGATAAATCAGGTGCATGCCACCTAGGATGAAGGCATTTTGTCCTACCAGAAGGACTTCTTTTTCTGACCCAAATTTCTGAGCTCCAACCCGTGCCCACAGCATCCCTTCAGCTCTGGCCCCCTTATTTTTGAATCAGGCTCTTGCCATGCTGTTCTAGCTGGCTTGGATTTCACTGCATAGACCAAGCTGGCCTGGAACTTGCAGTGATCCTCCTGCCTCTGTATCCTGAGTGCTAGGATTACAGAAACATGCCGCCATGACCAACTAACGCCTTCATTTTTGTCACTGAGCATATTCCATTGCACAGGTATTTGTAATGCATTTATCTGTTTACCTGTTGATGGACATTTCCGTTGTTCTAGGGCTTGGTTAGTGTAAATACAGTCACTATGAGAACATAACTGAACAAGTCTTCCCTCGGACTTCAGTTTCTCTTCAGTGAAATGGTTCAGTCACGTGGTAGATTTTGATTTCTAAATCAGCTATAGTCTAAATGAGATGAGGTGAGTTGTGGTTTTGCTTGACATTTGTATCAAGCAGGGTAAGTCTAGACTCAGGATAAATTAAGGAATTTTTTTTTCTTATTCTATATGCTGGAATAGTTTGTCTTGTTGGTTGGTTGGTATTTTTGTTTTTAAGTTTTTGTTTTGTTTTGTTTTGTTTGGAAGAGGTTGAGACAGGGTCTCATTATGTAGCTCTGCCTGGCCTGGAACTCACTATGTAGACCAGGCTGACCTTGAAATCACAGAGCTCTGCCTCTGTTCCATCCTGACTCCTGAGTGCTGGGATTAAAGGCATGCACCACCATACTTGACTTCATCAGGAATCTTTTGAAACCTCAAGTGTTCCCTTCCCTGTCCCTGCCACACCTCTCCTCCAAGGCCACACCTCCTAATCCTTCCCAAACAGTTCCACAAACTGGAGACAAGTATTCTGACATATAAGTCTATGGACGTCATTCTCATCCAATCCACCAACAGAGCTGCAGGTGGTTTGAGCCACCTGATGTGGGTGCTGGGAAATGAACCTAGTCTTCTCTAAGAACAGTACTCACTCCCAACCACTGAACCATCTTTCCAGCCCTGCTACCTTTTTATTTTAAACAAGATTTTTTTTATGTAGCTTAGGTTGGTCTCAAACTCTCTGAAATCATACACAAACACACACAGTAAATAACTATAAAAGATACCTCTTTGTTTTGCTTTTTTGAGACAGGGTCTCTGTTATGTAGCACTGGCTGTCCTGGAACTCCCTACGTAGATCAGGCTGGCCTCATACTCACAGGGATCTGCCTGCCTCTGCCTCCCAAGTGCTGGCATTAAAGGCGTGCGCCACCATGCCTAGCTTCTGCTTCCCCTTCTTAAGCACTGATATTAAAGGCATACACCACCACACCTGTACTAGAGACTGGATTCAGGGCTTTGTGTATACTAGGCAAGTACTTTACTATCCTGAGTCAGAATGTGACTCCTCCCAGCCCCAAAAGGCATACAGGATATTAAGGCAGGCATGCAGGCATATGCTTGTAAGCTTGGGAGCTCAGGAGGTTGAGGCAGGGGATCAAGAGATTGAGAATTTGAGAATTAGAGAACAGCCTGGGCTATAGATAAGAACTTGCCTCAGAATAAAAATCCTGAGGTATTTACCTCTATATTCGCACGAAAGATATACTATGAATCCTTGGGAAAGTTAATGGGTGTTGTCATCCCGTTGTTGAGTCTGACAAAAATAAACCTTATTTACATTCATATATGCTTACCTGTTTTGCTAGTTTATTTTTATTTTATATGTAGTACTCTTCTGCCTACACACATGTCTGTACGCCACGTTTGTTTCTGGTGCTTGCAAGGCCAGAAGAGGGCGTCAGATCCTCTTGAACTGGCGATGCAGATGCTTGTGAGCTGCCATGTGAGTATTAGGGATTGAACCTGTGTCCTTTGCAAGAGCAACCACAGGCTCCTAATCACTGAGCCATCTCTCCAGACCTTCCTTATTTATTTCTTCCTCATTTTTATTGGGGGGGGCGGGGTGGTGGCAGTTTCAAGACAGGGTTTCTCTGTGTAGTTTTGGAGCCTGTCCTGCTAGACCAGGCTGGCCTCGAACTCACAGAGATCCACCTGCTTCTGCCTCCCGAGTGCTGGGATTAAAGGCGTGTGACACCACCTCCTGGCCCTCATTTATTTTTTAAAATAATTATTTTTATTTGTTTTTTGAGAATTTCATGCAATGTATTTTGATTTAATTCCCAACTCCTCCCAGATCTACCCCAACTTCCTGTCTTCTTTGATTCTTCGTTTAAAAACTCCAATTTGTACTCCACACATTTCTGGATATAGGGCTATCCATTGGCTCATAGTCAACCCACCAGGAGTCATACTCCTAAACAATGAACTCTCTGGGCTAGAGCCATGGCTCAGCAGTTTAGAGCTCTTGTTGCTCTTGCAGAGGACCTGGGTTCAATTCCCAGCATCCACGTGGTGGCTTACAACTATTTGCAACTCCAAGTTCAGGGGATCCGACGTCCTCTTCAGACCTCTGTGGGCACCAGGCACACATGTGGGACATACACACACACACACACACACACTCATACATGTAAAAGAAAATAAATAAATCTAAAATAAAACAAAAAAGCATTACTCCCCCTCACCGTGAGCCCACCAACTGTACAGTTTCTCAGTTAGGGTAGGCTCATGAACCCATTCCCATTCCATGCTACAATGTTGATTGAGATTTTTCTCACATAATTGTCCACTGTGGGTTGTCTCTAGAAGTGGGAGATGGTCCACTACGAGATGATTCCTGGAGGTAGGTTTCATTCACTTTGTTGAGATACTGTCCTCTGCATTGAGCTGGCCACTCCCTGAAGGAGGTAGCAGTAAATTTCTGACTTTTAAATGTCTTGGTTTACAAGCAACACTCAACATTCCCACTCACTTCCTTGGAAGTCACACGTCCTAGCCTATGCAAAGGGGTTGAGAACCATAAGAACCCAGTCCCAGGACGGGTGACCTCTGCCCAATAATCCTGTGGTTCCCTGGAAGGGAGTGTACATGAGGGGTTGAGTCCTGCCAGGTTTTGGGGGATGGTTAACTGCCTCTTTCATGGGAGCCATGAGGTTTATTAGTGAGGCTTTCATTGCTCTCCACTGTGAGATTTTTGTGTGCCAGTGTTGGATGAATGATGGTTTTCACGGCTGCCAGGAACTGCCGAGGAAGACCGTGACTGCAGACATTCATTTCCCTGCTGTTTGTCCAACAGCTCACTGTCTCCCAGCTGGAAAGCTCGTTACCAATGAGCACTTCTTTCCCAGGTACAAGAACACAGAGATGCATTTACGGAGCGCTGTCCAAGGACAACAGCGGCAGGCTGCGGATCCACAGACACATCAGTCAAAGAGTAAGTGTCAATACAGGAGACAAAAATGAAAATATCAAAGGGAGAGACACATGCCTAATATTCCTTTTATTTTTCCATTCATTAAAAAAAAGAGTGGATGGCCAGGTGGTGGTGGCTCACGCCTTTAATCCCAGCACTGGGAGGCAGAGGCAGGCGAATCTCTGTGAGTTCAAGGCCAGCCTGGTCTTTAGAGGGAGTCAGGGCTGTTACACAGAAGAATCTTGTCTCAAAAAAAAAAAAAAAAAAAAAAAACAAACCAACAACAACAAGAAGAGTGGATGCACAATTCGTATAACATAGAATTTCACAGAACAATTTTCACTTCAAGATGTACAATTCGCCTGCGGTGGTGGCACACGCCTTTAATCCCAGCACTCAGGAGGCAGAGCCAGGCAGATCTCTGTGAGTTCGAGGCCAGCCTGGGCTACCAAGTGAGTTCCAGGACAGGCTCCAAAGCTACACAGAGAAACCCTGTCTCGAAAAACCAAAAAAAAAAAAAAAAAAAAGATGTACAATTCATGAGTTTTTCATATTCATAGAGCTATGCAGTCATAGATGCTGCCTAGTTCCAGAACAATTTCACCCTCAAAAGAAACTGTGTCCTGTCAAGAACTCCAATCCATCTTCCCTCCAATCCCTAGTCGCCACCCATCGACTTTGTCTCTATGGCTTCAGGTCTTCTGGGTGTTTTCAGGAAGTGTGAGCATGCATTATTTCCTGTAAGACTGTTTCCCCCCACTTGGTGTGTAATCCATTCTCTTACTGTTGTGACCAAATCCCTGACAAGAAACAACTGAAGGGCCAAGAGTTTACTTCAGCGTACACACTGCGGGTGTGGTTCATCACTGGGGAGGATACGTGGCAGCTGGTGACGCCATGACGGCAGGAGAGTGAGGTGCATCCTACATCCTGTAGGATGCTGAGAGATGAATGTTGGTACTCAGCTCACTGACTGCCTCTTAGTCAATCTGGGACACCAGCCCATCACTGTTAAGATAATTCTCTTCTCAGTTACACCTTTCTGGAAACTTCTTCACAGACACACCCAGACATGCTTTTCCACAGTGATTCTCAATCCCTTCAAGTTTACATCAAGATCAACCACACCACTATGTTTAAGGGTTTTGTTCTGAGGTTTGTTTATGATGTAGGTAGTATTGGTAGTTCACTTATTTTTATAATGAATAATATTCCTGTGAATGGACAGGGTATATTTTGTTTACTCATTATGTATCCATTTAAACCGTTTTTAAGTTGGGGCTCAGAACGTAAGTCATTGGGTAGAGTGCTTGCCGCGCGTGTTCAAGGTGCTGGACTCGATCCCTGGCACCACACAAAGCAGACATGGCGGCACACACTGGTAGTCTTAGCACATAGCACCTGGGAAGTGAGGCAGGAGGATCATCCTCAGCTACAGAGCGAGTTGAAGGCCAGCCTTGGCTAAAGACTCTACCTTAAAAATATCAAAAGGTTGTGGCAGAATAGACGACATAAAGTTTGCCTTCTCAGCCGTTGTTTGTGCCCACTTCTGTAAGACGTCTGTCCACAGCGTCGTGCAGCCATCCCCCCCGTCCATCTGTGGCACTCTTCCCGGCTCACAGGATGGACATTCTCACTAACAGCTCATTTCCCCTCACTCCATTCTACTTCCTGTTCCTGTGAATTCGGCCATTCCAGGAACCTCACATGAATGGAATCAGAACAGTTTTTCTGACAGCTGCCCAGGTTCACCCATGTTGTATCTTTATATCTTCTGTCAACCCCCTGCTCCAACCCCCTCCCCCAACCTCCTTGACACAGGGTCTCATTTAAACCCGAACACTATCCCAGTGCGTGATTTCTGGTTTTGTGTATCTGTTCATCTATTGGTAGGCACCTGGGTTCTTCCACTTAATGCTAGTGTGAAAAATGATGCCATGGACAGGGGCATACAAATACCTTTTTAGACCCTGTGTTCTATTCTTTTTAGGTATAGTATATAACCACAATTGGAATTGTTAGATTACATGATAGTTCTATTTTAAAATCTTTCAGAAATTACTATGCCGTTTCCCACACGGGCTGTCCCAATTACATCCCTAGTGACAATGCACAAGGGTACCGATTTCTCTACAGCCTCATCGACACTTATTATTTTCCATTTTATGCATTTTTAATAAAGTCTGGCTATGTAGCCCAGGCTGGCCCAACTCACAATCCTCCCCTCTCAGCCTCACCAGTTCTCAGATTGCAGGTGTGGACCACCAAGTTTAGGTAGACATTCATTTTTAAGCGGCCACTGACAACCTAGTATGTCAAGTCTCTATACTTGGCACAAACTAGAGATGCCCAGATATTAAGTGTCTGGGCTCTCAGAAGTTCAGGGTGCCATGGGGGAAATGCTGGTTGATGGGTGTCTACTAGAGGTAGAACAGAGTGCCAAACAAGCATAAAAAAGGAGGTGAGGGATTACATGAGAGAAGATGTCACCAAGGGCCAAGCTATTGACTGGGGACGTGAAAGGTACATGGGAGGTGGCCAGCAGCACACCCTCCAGGAGGGCCTCTGCTGTTTTCAGCTGCTAATCTTACTTCATCAGCACCAAGTCAGCAGCCATGTGGCCGGTGCTCACGAGGACCGGTGCTCCATCCAGCCTCAGATGGGGGTGAACCTAACATCTAGCTGCAGTGTCAAGAAAACCCACAGACTGCCCACTCAAACCCCTCCAAACGCCAGAACCCTAGGAGAGTGTGAGACAGTGCATGTTGATTGCTAGTTAAGGAATTACGTTTCTTTTTCTTCTTTTTTTTTTTTGGAGGCGGCGTGGCCTTATGTATCACAGGCTGGCCTCACAGTCACTCTGCAGCTGAGAATGACCTTGAACTTCTGATCCTTCTACCACTACCTCCACCTCAGCCTCCCCGTCACTGGGGTCACAGGTGTGCAGCACCTCCCCCAGTTTTCATGGTGCTGGGGATTGAACCCAGAGCTTGGTGCACGTCGGGCAAGCACTCTGCTAGCCATCAGTCATTAAGTTTTGAAATAATTTGAATAATTTTATTGAGAAGCAGAAAAAAGATAAAGCATATTCCAACGGTGACGAGAGAGAATCATGGAGGCTGGTGTGGGAGATCTGGCCAGGAACTTGAAGTACAGAGATGCTTCTGAATGCCACGTTCTCAGAAAGAGTGGGCAAGGGTGCCCCCTGGTGGCAGAAGGCATGCTTAGCCATTCCCATTTCCAGCTTGTACTCAGCGGGCAGTCCTCCAAGGGTCATAGTGAGTTTTATGACTCAGTTATGTGGGCCATAAACACATTTTCCTAGCAATATGAAGACTATCCTCTGAAAAGTGAAGTTAAGGTATTAGGTGCCCTCTTTGATCATTTTCTATTCCCTCTTAGCCCTGGAAGGATTGAGTCAAAGGGTTCATGATGCTCGGGAGGGGGCAGATAAGTAGAATTAAATTATTAAAATGTTAGGCCTGGGGGTTTATCTAAATGGTATAGCACTTGCCTAGCACATGCCAGGCCCTGGGTTCCATTACCAGTACTGAAATGAAATAAAATCAGCCCCCACCCTACCCCAAGCAGGTCTGTGTCTTAGGATCAGGGCAAGACTTTGCTCATCGCTCTTGGCCATGCCTGTTGTCCCAGTCGGTCTTTAGTGCCTTTTCGTACCCTCTAATAGCTGTGCCAAATAATGTCTAGGAGTCTGGGAATCGTAGCTAGAGCTGATCTAGCTAGATCTGATCGCAAGTAGAGAAAATAGATAAATAAATAAATAAACAAACAAATAAGTAATCAACATTGCCACCAGCCACAGCCGGCCTCAGATCAGACCCAGGAGGAAAAGTTGCAAAGAAAATGAGATCTATCTTTGAAGTGAGTTACTGATGGTAGAATTCCAGGTAGTTAAGTCATTGAAATAAGCAATTTTTCTCTAAGAAAGGATAGGCTTTTTTTTTTTCTCTCTTTGAAACAAGATTTTGCTCTTTAGCCCAGGCTGACCCAGAGCTGGTGTTGCTAGGATTACAGGTCTGCTTTCCCACGCCTGGTTGGGCACAGAGGCAGGTAAATCTACCCCATCTCTATGCTCAATACTTCAATACTGGAGGAGTCATTGCTTTGTATTATGGCTGAGTCAGGTTAGTGTCTCCTGTGAAACTAAGAGCCATGGAGAGCAGAATGTGAGACTTGCTTATTCTTGACAGTTTCAAATCCACTCCGGTAAGGGAAGAGGTGTTCTGCTGGGTCTTAGATGAGAAGAAATGTGAACATCCAGGACTGGCTAGACCATGGGGAGACACTGACAGGCTTGAATCCCTTGGGGAACATTTGTGCTAGAAGCTAGACGAACAGAAGTTACTCCAGCCAGTTTCCCCAGCCTCCGTCTAGGCAGAAGACCCGTCAAATCAAAGGCAGTGACTTTGCATGTGCCTAGTGCTAAGATGGGCAAGCCCACAGAACCAAGCCAGATGGGCACCTGACCCGCTGATGGGGCGTGTGAAGGAAGACTTCCTGAAGGGGTGAAGTGAGATACGAGCCAAGTTGTGGAAAGAGTAGGAGCTGGCCCAATAAAAGCTGTATGGATGAGGACACAGAGCAGTGGGAGGTGTGATACACTGGGGGATGTTCCTGAAGAGCTGAATGTGCTGGGGCCTCAGGGAGGTCACTCATGCCACTGAAAAGTTCTCAAATCTGAGCAGAAGAATGGTCAAAGGTGCGTGTGCAGGAGGGAAGAGGTGGGAGCGGGAGTGGCTGTGGCCTCTCTAGGATCAGAGATGGGCTGGGTCGGGAGAGAGAGAAGTGGGGCCTCCAGAGAGACTAAGGGGGCCCCTGGGAACAGAGCCATCCAAAGGAGGACGTAGAGTCCAGCAGACACTGAGCACTATGTGTGGAATTTGGATCTGCTGGCATTCTAGACTTCTGGACTTCCAAAGATAATAGTGATCCTCCTCCTCCTCTTCCTCTTCCTCTTCTAGACAAGGTCTCATGTATCCCAGGCTGGCGTTGAACTTGCTGTATAACTGAGGATGACCCCCATCTCCTGATTCTCTTGCCTCCATCCCCAAGTGCTGAGATTATAGGCATGTACCACCATACCTGGGGGTGGGGCAGATCAAACCCAGGGATAGGATAGTACTCTAACCACCTGAGCTACATCCTTTAACCCTGGATTTCCAAGGATTCTTTTTTTTTTTTTTTTTTTTTTTTTTGAGACAGAGTTTCCCTGTGTAGCTTTGTGCCTTTCCTGGAACTCGCTTTGGAGACCAGGCTGGCCTCAAACTCACAGAGATCTGCCTGGCTCTGCCTCCCGAGTGCTGGGATTAAAGGCATGCACCACCACTGCCCGGCTCCAAGGATTCTTGTCTGATTCTGGGCTGGGAGTAGTGCAGTGAACATGGTAATGACTGTAATGTGTGTGTGTGTAGGCTAGAAGAGGACACCAGATCTTTGTCGACTCATAGATGGAGGCATGTTTGAGACCTTCAGCTTACTATGTGGGTACTGAAATCTGAACTCTGGTCCTCATAACTTCTTAGTAAGTGCTCTTCACTGTCAAGCCACCTCTCTAGACCCTGCTAACATTTCAAATGATTTATTTATTTTTATTTTATGTGTTTGAGTGTTTTGTCTGTCTGTATGTATGTGTACCACGTGTGTGCAGTGCCTGTGGAAGTCAGAAGAGGGCGTGAGAGCCCCTGGAACTGGAATTATAGAAGGTTGTGGGTCACCATATAAATGCTGGGAACCAACCCCAGGTCCTCGGCAAGAGCAGCAAGTGCACTAACTGATTAGCCACCTCTCAGTGCCCGCCCCCAACTAACATTTTTTTTTTTTTTTAGGTTTTTCGAGACAGGGTTTCTCTGTGCAGCTTTGCGCCTTTCCTGGATCTCGCTCTGTAGACCAGGCTGGCCTCGAACTCACAAAGATCCGCCTGCCTCTGCCTCCCAAGTGCTGGGATTAAAGGCGTGAGCCACCACCGCCCGGCCAACTAACATTTAAAAACCATTATTATGTATGTGTGTATAGTGTTTGTGTGTGTGTGTATGTGTGTGTGTGTGTGTGTGTGTGTGTGTGTGTGTGTGTGTGTGTGTGTGTGTGTGCAGGTGTGTATTGTGTGTCATAGCTCATGGGTGGAGGCCAGAGGACAATCTTTGGGAGTTGGTTCTCTTCCTCCACCATGGGACTGGGGGACTGAATTCTGCTCTCGGGTTTGTACAGCAAGTGCTCTCACTCACCTAGGCATCTTGCCAGTCCACACTTTAAACATGCTGGGAATTTCTATATTTTAGAGCGTTTTATTTCTCCCCTGTGAAGTTGCTCCTAATTATCCCTGCTTTATAGCTGGAAATAGCAACTAAGTATCTCCTGCAACGTGGAATCCTCCCACCTTACTCAGGTTGGGCCTGGAAAGCAGAACTTTACAAAATTCCTCCATTCTTAAGCATTTCATTTTGAGGTAACTGTAAACTTACGTAGTTATAAGAGTGTACCAGTACTTTGTCATCGAGACCGCCAGCCCGCAAATACTAGGCTTGTCCCCAACTAGCGCTTATAACTTAAATCAACCCATTTATATTAACTTACATTCTGCCATGTGGTGTTACCTCATCTCTGTACTGCCCATCCTACTTCCTCCACGGCTGGCTGGTGACTCTCCACGCACCCATATTCCTCCTCCTCCTCCTCCTCCTCCTTCTCCTCTCTCTCCCCGGAAATCCCACCTATCCTATTGGCTGTTCCTAAATCCTAAATCCCATCTAGCTATTGGCTGTTCCACTCTTTATTACACCAATCACAGCAACACCTCATCATACGCTGCACACATATTCCGAAACATAAGAGATCCTGTGAGCATCTTGCAATCTTGCAATCCCTTCCCCCTTTCTCACCACACCTACATGCCAGTGCTCTAGCTCCTGGAGACATTGATATAGGAGGAGGCCAAGACAGGGTCATATCCTGGATGCTAGTGTTATCCTGGGCACTAAGATGGACAAAGAAAGAGCAGTGACGTGTCCAGTGTTGCCAAGCGCTCCTGCAAGGAAGACTGGAAGTGTCCATTGGGTTTAACAGCCAGAACACCGCAGGTGACCCCGGAAGACAGGATGACAGTTGGTGAGGGGTGTGCAGTAGAGTGCAGCAAGTCAGATGGGGAAAGGAAAAAGGGGTAAAGAAGACATTTCCTGTGGATCTTGAATCTAGGATAAGGGGTGTTAGGGAGGGATTTCGGAGCCCGTGGAACAGTGACAGGCCTTAAGGAAGTGAGAAGAGTTGGGATTCCCAGTACAGCTGAGTCCTGGCTGGAGGAGCAAGCACGTGTAGTGGGTAGCCATTCCAGCTTTGATCTGGAAGTTCCAACCCCCATGGAGGCTTCGGTAACTGTCTGGAGACCCGAGATCAGGATGCGCCGGCTCTCTTGGTTCCTGGACCCTGGACGCTGGCGGTAGACTGAGCAGAGTTTTCTAGAGAACACCGCCGGACTGCGCTACACCTTTCCCAGACCCTGTTACCTATCCCTTCACTTGTGAGTTACCCCACAAAATAAACCTCCCTTTTAACTATGTGAAGTTGTCTTAATAATTTCACCAATAAGCATGCCTGTCTTTCTGAAAAAGAGATGCTGGAGGAGTTGGCAATAAAACTTGGGGCTGTTCAGAGAGGGTGGTTATCGCTAGCAGGCCGCCTGGGAGGCTGCAGACATCTGACTCCTGCTAAGATGACTTGTTTGGACTTGGATGGAAAGAAGAAGCAGGGCAGGCGGGTGTGACGGCAATTTGAGGAGTTGGCACGAGTCCAGGGCCTTTGTAGGTAACAGGAGAGGGTTCAGCTGGCTGAGATTGATGAGCTTGAAAGGGAGCCGCAGGGGTGATGAGGCTAGTAGATGCAGACTCGTGTGGGTGGTGTTATGGTTGGGGTTACTGGGATCCAGTGATATATCTGGCTCAAATCCCAGTTCCAAGAGGTCTATGTGCTGTGACATTAAAGAAGTTACTTACCATGACTCAAATTCCTCATCTGTGAAATGATAACCCCAAAAGGGTTATTGAAGGAGGATCAGATAAGAATGTGCGCAAAAAGCTTAGTGTACTGCCTGGCTGCTGATTAATGCAAACTCATGGGATGTGTGTTTTAAGGGACACCAACTGGGTCACAAGATGCGAAGAGGACTGAGGTGGGAAAGGCCTACACAGGACCTTGAAGACAGCAGCTACCCACCACAATTCTGTCTCTACTAGGCAATTGACATAGAAGATGTGTTTTCTGCCTTTCCTAGGCTCACGGAGCTTCTACCCAAGTTTCCTTTTCTTTCTTTTTTTTTTTTTTGGTTTTTCGAGACAGGATTTCTCTGTGTAGCTTTGCGCCTTTCCTGGAACTCATTTGGTAGCCCAGGCTGGCCTCGAACTCACAGAGATCCGCCTGGCTCTGCCTCCCGAGTGCTGGGATTAAAGGCGTGAGCCACCATCTTTTTTTTTTTTTTTTATCCTTCTCTTCCCCCTTGTTTTTTTGAGCCAGGAGATCCCGTAGCCAAGGCTGGCTTTGAAATAGAAACACTCCTACCTCAGAATCCTAACAGACGTGCTTCACCACGCAAGTCTCTCTAACTGTCCTTATGGTAACGTTCCGGAGCTAGGCCGGTCCCCAGGCATTAGGTCCTAGGGTTCCGGAGCATTAAGTGTGTCGTCTCTTGCGTGGCAGGAGTTGAGTTGACCAGAAATTAGCAGGGAAGGGAAACGCGCCCAGGCGCACTATGGACAACGAGCTGGCTCGCCTGCGCTTGGGTGGGAGGAGCTAAGCCCGGAGCTCCGCCCCAAGGCGGGACGGGCGCGATGACGTCACGGACGCGCCACCGCAGAGCGAGTCGCGCGTCCCGGAAGCGACGGCGGTGGAGGGGGCTGACGACTCTCTGGGACCTGTGACTTCGGAACGTCGGTGGGAGGTGGTGCGGCGTGGGGTGGGGCGGGCCTGAGGGAACGCTCCGGGGCTCGGTGGCCCTTCCGTCCCCCTGGCCGTCCCTGCCCATCTCTCCCCTGGGCCAGTGTCCGGGTAGGTGACGGCCATCACACCCCCGCTCCTGTGTGTTTACTGAGTCTGGCGCTCCCACCCGGTGGGGGCCGCCACCTGCTGGCCCAGCGACCTTGGGCGTGGCCTGCCTTGCGCGGCTTCGGGGGGTGATGGTGGTCGAGGCCTCTGTAGGCGCTGACCTGCTAATCTCCTTCCTAGGCGCTTGTCTTGCCCCTGCCCCGGGTTCCTTTTTTCCTGGTTGTCCTATCGGGAGTTTGGTGTCCGGTCGGCCCCTTTCCAGGTGTTGAATGGAGGAGCCAGGGTTAAGAGCGTGATAAGTGTTTTGCTAGGAAGAGTTCATGAACCTTTGGGAGCCCTGCCAAGGGTCTTCCAGACTACACTGAGGGTGTTGACAAAGACTTCTCAGAGCAAGAGGCACTCTTTAAGCGGACACCTGAAGGATGAATAGGATTACCAGATAAAGATGGGAGAAAGATATCACGGGACATCTTTTCTCTTGGGATTACCAACTATCTTCCTTCAACAACCTGGTTATTATGGTTTATATGTTTTTCAAAGGTTTGGGGTGGGGGAAGAGCGTTGAAGGGGTTCATGAAGAACAGGCTTTATATCCAAGTGGTCCACTTCACTCCGTTGATCTTCAGCAGGAACAAAGTTCCCTCCTGTGTGAAATGGGTAGTCCCTCTTACCTTGGAGGTTTAATTATAAGTACCACATGAAATAATGCAAGGGGAAATGCGTTGAAGATTGAAGTGCATTCTAAGTGTGGGGAATTATGATTACAGGATGCAGACAGCAGCTCGGGACCTGAGTGGGCCAGAGGTGAGCCCCGGAGTGATGCCTGAGGTTCTCTCTGAGAGTCCACCTGCCCCCACCAAGTCCACAGCGTTTGATCTTTTCAACCTGGTTCTGTCCTACAAGAGGCTGGAGATCTACCTGGAACCCCTGAAGGACGCAGGTGATGGTGTTCGGTACTTGCTAAGGTACAGACTTTAGGGGTTGCTTTTCCTGTGGTCTCTCTTGCCTCTCTGGCCAGTTGGGCAGTAATTGGGCTGACTTTTCTGCTCTAGTGATGACTAGTTCTGGAGACGTTGTTTGATCTCTGGATTTATTCAGGTCTACCTGTGTTCCAGTCCTACGCAGGAAAGGCAGGAACTGGGAACTGCCTGACCTTCATCAGGATTCTTTGTGGCTGGATAAGCTCCTCTCAGGGACTGCTAGAAAGCCTTGGACATTGGCCTACTAAAGCTTGAGCAGGCTTAGAGTTTCCCGCCCCCCTTCTCTCCCAATATTAACATAATTAATATTAAAATGTTGATTTTATTTTGTTATTTTTGTATGTGTGTGGCATTTGTATGCAGGTCAGAGGACAACCTTTGGGAACTGGTTCTCCTTCCACAGTGGATTCTAGGGAGCAGACTCAGAGGCTTGGCTTGGCAGCAAGTGGCTAAGCTATCTCACCAGCAAGTTACAATTTTAAACAAACCTCAAATACAAATACCTTTGAAAAAACTGGACACCATATTCATTTGTTATGTAGGATAATGGTTCTCAATTTTTTCCTGATTTGCTTCATTTTTCATCCGCTCAGTTTTTTTCTAGCTTTCCTTCCTTCTGTTGTCTGAGATAGTGGTCTGAAACTCATGTAGTTTAGGCTGCTCTCAGACTCACATCTTTCTGTTTCATACTCACAAGTACTGGGACTACAGGTGTTTGCCACCAGGCCAACACCAACTGGCTCATTGTATATTCCTGGCTGGCCTGGAACTCACAGAGGCCTGTCTGCCACTATCTCTGGAGTGCTGGGATTAAAAGCATGCATTGCCATGCCTGGCTTCTCTCTTTTTTTCCTTGAGTGATGTATTTACTTTTTAGATTTATGTGTATGATGTATTGTCTGTATATATTTATGTACACCATGTCTTTGCTTGCTTCCCTCAGAGGCCAGGAGATGCTGTCAGGGCCCCTGGAATTTAAGTTATAGATGGTTGTGAGCTGCCATGTGGGTGCTAGGAACTGAGCCTGGATCTTAACCAGTAACATCTCTCCAACTCCTGGGTTTATTTGTGTTAAAAGTATTTTTATTTGGACATAATTCCAGCATTTAGGAGGTAGAGACAGGAGGATCAGAAGCTCAAAATCATCTGTAGACGGAGTTTTCTTTGGGCTGCCAGTTCTCTCTCTCTCTCTCTCTCTCTCTCTCACGCGCACACACACACACACACACACACCAACACAGAGACTTATTATTAATTATGAAAGCTCGACCTATAGCTTAGGCTTGTTCCACTAGCTCTTATAACTTAAATTAACCCATTTATATTAATCTACGTTTTGTCTTTTTTTTTTTTTAACCTCTCTTCCATCTTGTACCTCTGGTTTCCTCTCTGTCTCTCTCTCTGCCTAGAAGTCCTGCCTAGCTATTGGCCATTTAGCTTTTTTATTAAACCAATCACAGTGACACATCTTCACACAGTGTAAAGGAATATTCCACAATAATCATCCTTAGCTCCATAGCAAGTTTGGGATCAGCTTGGGCCACAGGACACCTTGTCTCAAAAAAACCATACCAAAAAAAACCCCAAAACAAAACAAAAAGATATCCTAAATTGCAAATAAATGGCTTTGCACTGCACTTCTGAATACTTCAGTTTGTCTGTTTTTTTGTTTTGTTTTTTTTTTGTTTTTTTGTTTTTTCGAGGCAGAGTTTCTCTGTGTAGCCCCCTGGCTGTTCTGAAATTAGCTCTGTAGACTATGATGGCCTCAAACTCACAGAGATCCACCTGCCTCTGCCTCCGCCTCCCGAGTGCTGGGATTAAAGGTGTGTGCCACCACTGCCCAGCTAGTTTATGTCTTTTAATAAAAGCATTTGATTTCATCATCAAAATAATGTCATACCTAACATAATTAAAAGCCACTCTGCAGCCTGGGGCTCTTAGTTTCCCATAGATTATGAGGAAAGGAATACCATTCTTTGCTTTTCATGAAGTCAAATACATATAACCCTAAACATATCTCAGAACCGCTGGTGGCTGCCATTGTGGTAAAAGTACAATGAAAAGATAGGTGGAAACTCAGCCCTGTCTGAAGAGTCAGACATCACACTGGCAGTGACGTCACTGGCCTTCCAGAGCCACGCCCCTTGATGTGCTGACAGTTTGATCCCGGGAGACCCACAGAGCAGAGCAGCTGATCATAACATTTTACTGTAGCTTCGAACACAGTAGCCAAGCTCCAAGATTGGGTCCCTCGTCAGTCCAATCCTCTTTACTAAAAAGAGCACTATCAAAAGCATAAACGAATGTGATAGCCACTTTCACAGCCCAGCGGTCCTTCTGCCAGCGTGTAGAGACTACAGCTGGGGGAGGTGCCCCTCCATCCAGCTCCAAGCTGATCTCCCCAGATCCTCAGACCACCAAACCTAACAAGTTGGTGTGCCAAGAGGCACTGCACCGCCAGCAGAGGAAAGTAGGACAGGGTGTGTGTAACTTGTGCTTTGCTGAAATGGGCAAAACAGAGGGGCACAGACGACAGGATGAGGATGCACTGTTTGCCGGCAGCGGATCCATTCTTTTTCTGATACTTGTTTCTCTCCTCTGATGTGTATATTGTGTACCTTGTGTATATTGACCTTAGGACATGGGTGTCAGTGGCTTCGTTATTATCTATGCTCTTTTTTCTTAGTTTGCTTCTTTTTATTTTAACTTATTTTATTTGTTTTTAGATAGGGTCTTATGTAGCCCATACTGACTCCAACTAACTGTGGCTGAGGCTGACCTTGAATGTCTGATCCTCCTGCCTCTACCTCCCTAGTGCTGGAATTATACCTGTGCTCCCCCACACTGGGTTCTAAATGTCCTTTTCCACAGCTAGGCCAGCAGCACTGTGTAAACTGACATTGTCTGTCCCAAATAAACACACAGAGGCTTATATGAATTATAAATGATGTGCTAATAGCTCAGGCTTATTTCTAACTAACTCTTATATTTTAAGTTAACTCATATTCCTTATTTATGTTCTGCCATGTGGCAGTACCTTTATTAGCATGGCATGCTTATTTCCTGCCTCCTCTGTGTCTGGCTGGTGACTTGACTCAGCCCTCTCCTTCCCATCATCCTTAGTTTGGTCACCCTGCCTGTACTTCCTGCCTGGCTACTGGCCAATCAGCATTTTATTAAACCAATTTGAGTGACAAATTTTTACAGTGTACAAGAGGATTATTCCATAGCAGCACTGTCTTGTCCTGTGAGATTTGAGTCACTTCTCTCTCCTCTTTGGGGACTTCTGTATTGTCATTTGGTGGTGGTGTGTGGAAGGGGCTGTTTCTCTTCTCAGTTCACACAGGTTGTATTTCCTGGGCGACAACTGCAATGCATGCTCTTTTTTTTTTCTTTTCCTGAGGTCTGAGCTCAGGGCCCTGTGCTTGCTGGGCAAGTGCTCTACCATTGAGCTAAATCCCAACCCTTCAGTTTTAGTATGGTAAAGTAGGTAATCTTTTTCTCCTTTTGAATGAAAGAGATAAAGTAACATATGGGCAAAAGATGTCCGTATTGTTTTTTCTCGATTTAAGACAAGGTCTCACTATAGCTCTGGCTGGCCTGGAACTCACTATGTAGACCAGCTGGCCTTGAGCTTGCAGGGATTTGCTGGCCTCTGCCTCCTGAGTGCTGGGATTATAGGTGCCCTGTTGATGAATTTTGGGCAAATGGACTGGTGAGCTGAGGAGGGTTTTGATTTTCCCCATATCTGTTATTTTCCGTGGTCCAGCAAGTGGCCTGGAGAGTGAGCTGATAATAGTCTTAGGAAATTGTGACATAAGATAAAGGAAGTTGCTAAAAGAAGAACCTGTCAGTGTCCCTTGTGAAGGACAGAGCCTTCCAAAGCATGGTGAAGCAGTGGGGACCAAGTTTCTCAACGGATGGTAGAGGAGCTCTTCCCCCTGGAAGGAGGTTCTGTAGGTCGGGTCAGTGTGTGACCTCTTGGTTCCTCCGCTAGCCTCCTGACCTACAGATAGGCCCATGTGTGTTTCTCCATGGTCCTTGTGCCCCTCCTCTCCTCATGTCCAGATCTGGCTGGCTGGCTGTGCTGCCAGGCCTCTTTCAGGCTGGAGGAATGGCTGTCTTGATCAGAACTCTCTCTGTTGTAGGTGGCAGATGCCTTTGTGTTCCTTGATGACCTGCCTGGGCCTCAACATCTTGTTCCTCACTTTGAACGAGGGTAAGAACTTCTTCTGGAGGCCAGTGGGTTTTTGTGAATGAATGTGGGGGAAGAACCCTGAGTTGGAGCAATGTGAGAGGGACCACCTCTTTGCCAGTTCGATTCCTCCTAGGTCTCCTTGGTGTTGGAACCCAAGCTCCAGAGCGATCCTCAGGATTCAGCCTCTGTGTGACTTCGGGCCCATGGTAGAGCCTATCTGTTGAGACTCCATTTCCCTCATCTCTGAACAGAAGATAGCAGCAGTCTTTCCTCATGAGCACTGTGAGGACTGAGAGCCTGTGTGTGCCGCTCAGCCCAGTGCCTCACCCAGACTGTAGCTGCCGCCGCCGCCTCTCTGTTGCTTCCTTCTTGACTGCTGGCTGATGCCTCCACCTGTTCCCATTTTGCTTTCCTATCTGATTGGGGGTCATTTGCCAACATGACCTGGGGTAAGGTTATCAGGAGGAGGATCTGAGGAGAGACTTTGTCCCTCATAGCTGTCATTTTCTCTGGTCCAGCAAATGAGCCTTGATGTGCTGGATGGCCACCAGCGCTGGGGTGAGGCACACACACAAAGCCATGAGGAAGACGTGTGACTGCAGAAGTCCTGGATGGCAGTGCCTCCTGAGGACATCTGTCGTGTATGCTGTGGCCCAGTCCTTTCAGGGTTGGAACTGTGAGGAAGTGCGGGAAGGGTCCAGGGCAGTGTTTAGAGGAGCTGGTCCTTCTGTGTTCTTACATGACACACATGATTCTCAGTATTTCCTATGGACATGTGGAGTCAGTGGGTTGAAAATTATCTCAGTTCACACAGGATCATCTAGTTTTGGACTGCTTTTTTTTTCTTTCTTTTTCTTTTTTGAGGCAGACGTTCTCTGTGTAGCTTAGGCTTGCCTTAAACTCACCATATAGTCCAGGTTTGCCTGGAACTACCTATTCTCCTGCCTCAGCCTCTCGGATTCTGGGGTTACAGATGTAACCACCATCATACCCAGCTTTCTTTTCCTTAGTTGGATTTTTCTTGGATTAAATCTCCTAGGATGTTAGTGTATGTGTGTCTAAGCATAGTTCTAAATTCCGTCAGTTTCAATGACAAAGTGTGTAATTAGCATTTATGATGGCCACTGCGGTCCTTGTTTGCTATTGTGATATTGTATTACAAGGGAGAAGTTCCTGCTTTGAACTTTGTCTCTGCTTCATTATCTATCCCTCAATCCTCAGGACTCCTACACTATCCTAAAAGTCAAAAGAAAGGCTTCTCGTCTGCCTTAGTGGTAGGTAGAGAGGGCCAAATTTTCATCCTGCAGCATCCAGACTGCAGATGTGAGCCATCTATTGTGTGCTGTGGCATTTTTTATTTTATCCTAGTGTGTGGGTGTTTTGCCTGCATGTATGTCTGTGTACTAGGTGTGTGCAGTGTCTGTGGAGGCCAGAAGAAGATGTTGGATCACCTACAACTGGAGTTACAGATGCTTGTGAGCCACAGTGTGGGTACTGGAAGTCAAGCCCAGGTCCTCTGGCAGAGCAGCCCATATTTTCAACCACCAAGCCATCTCTCCAACCCACGAGGCATTTTTTTAAGTTTACACAAGGCTGGAGTTCATCCATGACCACATACCTGGGGCTCACAGTATCGAACCTACTTTCGCTGAAGAGGCATCATGTCCATAGTACATGGTGTGGTGATGAGATCTGTGAGGGAAAACAAAACTGGGTTGAGCAGGCCTTAGCATGAGGGGATCTGGAGTCCTACCCGCAGTGTGGTCAGGCTGGCTTCTCAGGCAGGGCCCGGAGGAGGTGGAGGCAAGCACGTGGACGGTGCGCAGACTCGTTTACTGTGTCACCTGCAGTGTTCCTGATCTCCTAGGTGCCTGGTACTCCATGGGTGCCTTGATGATTTCGGTGCCTGCCCTGCTGGGCTACCTTCAGGAGGTTTGCCGGCCACAGCTGCCAGATTCGGAGCTGATGCGGAGGAAATACCACAGCGTAAGGCAGGAGGACCTACAGAGAGTTCGCCTTTCCCGACCGGAGGCTGTGGCTGAGGTGAAGAGCTTGTAAGTATTGAAAGGAGACCAGGAGTGTGGGGGAGTGAGCCGGCTGCCACACTGCATGCTGCCCGGCTGCCACAGACTTCATTCTACTTAATCTCTTTACCAGGTCTGAGCGGAGACACTATTATTATCCTCCACTTAGAGTTAGTGACTGAGACTCCAGATTCAGCTGCCCTCACAGCTGTGTTCGTTCTTTCCCCAGAGGGACCTCTAAGGGGCTGGCTTAGGTGCCGCTTGTGCAAGCCCCTGCTGGGTGAAGTGTTTATCTCATTATCCTTTATCAGTAAAAACTCGGGAGTCAGATATTGGAGTAAGAACCTGAATGATCAGAGAAGCAACCAGTAAATGACACCCCCCCCCCCCCCAAATCCTTAATCCAGCAGGACTGAGACCTTCTCTAAGCCTTGCCCTACTACTTCCTGTGTCTGTTCTCAGTCCTCTAAAACCTCTGTGGTTAATTTTGGTCAGCTAGTAGTTAGATCCATCCTCTAATTTAAAGCAAATTTTATTGGCAGTCTTGGGAACATCAGAATGCTATCAAAATATCACACAACATCTGGGCTTGGATCCTACCTCTTCACTTCTGTGCAACATCCGACAACTCTCTTGCTTCTCTGCGCCTCTGGTCCCTCATCTGTCGGATATGATGTTGGGCTTATGCAGAGGATGGTTGTGAAGATTGTTGGAGTGTTGGGTACCCAGGAAGTGTTCAGTGTTAGTCATCATTACCATCCTCAACATGACATGGCAGGTGCTTTGAGGAAGCAACTTTAAGACTGCTGAGGAATGTTAACCTTGTCGACTTCAGTGGCAGCTGGCTTTTCCTTGATTCAGGCTCCAAGTAGGCTTTTGACATACAGCAGGGGTTATAATAGAACTAACATGCCCAGAAATAGAGTCATCAGGAGTGAGGTCCAGGTATATGGGAAAACAAACAAACAAACGAAACTTTTTTAATGTGAAGTAATTTATTTTTATGCATTTCTTTTCCTTTCTTTCTTTTTTTTTTTTTTTTTCTGAGATGATCTCATGATATAGCCTTGGCTAGCCTGGAACTCAAAATGTAGACCAGGCTGACTTGAAATTCATAGAGATATTCATGCCCCTGCCTCCCAAGTGCTGGGATTAAAGTGTGCACCAGTATGCTTGACACTGAAACAATATTTTAACATTTGACAAGCGGCACAGAAGAATGAAACAGTTCCATATACCATTCATACAGAGCAATTACTAGCATTGTCACGCTGGCTTTAGCTTTCTATTTTTTTTCCCTTGAACCATTTGAAAATTATAAACAGCCCTCTGTTCACTCCAAACATTTCAGCATTTTTTTTCTGAGATTAAGGACATTGTCTTATGTATTCCCCGTAGAACAGTTGGAATTAGGATATTTATATTGATATAGTAGTACCTTTCTTTGCTGCATAGTTCATAATCACATTTTGCCAGTTGCATTGAAGTTTTTTTTTTTTTTTTTTTTTAAAGATTTATTTATTTATTATGTATACAGTATTCTGCCTACAATGTAGGCTTGCAGGCCAGAAGAGGGCACCAGATCTCATTACGGATGGTTGTGAGCCACCATGCGGTTGCTGGGAATTGAACTCAGGACCTCTGGAAGAACAGCCAGTGCTCTTAACCTCTGAGCCATCTCTCCAGCCCCTGAAGTTTTTTTTAATATTGGTTTCCCCTGGTCCAGGGTCCAATTTAGAATCATACATTATATTGAAGGTTTTTTCTTTCCTGTACTGCTAAGACTAGATCCAAGACCTTGGCTACTAAGCACCTCAGTCCTCACACTTAATTTCTGTGTTCTGTTAACATGGGGTGAGCGGTTCCACGTGACCTTGACGTACTTGATGCAGTACAAGCTCACTGTGTTGTTGTGTGTATATGTGTGTGTGTGTGTGTGTGTGTGTGTGTGTGTGTGTGTGTGTGTGTATAACAGTTTGTGTTACTCGGTTCCTTGTTAGATTCAGGTACACATTTGAGCAGGGCTGACAAGTGGAGTGTCATAGTCTATGTGAGAGCCACACGATGTCAGGAAATACTAACTGGTCACTTGTTTAAGGCTTCTCTGTGTAAATTACTGTTTAGCCTCGGTTGTTAGTCATCTGTGGAGAGATACATTGAGACTGAACTATCTTGTTCTCATCAGCTTCCACTCAACTGCTGTAAAAGCCACTGGTGGGTCCTCCCTTCATGAGTTTATTCCGTGGTGGTTGAGAAGTGGTTCTCTGCTCAACCTTCTGTTTGCGTTTATTCTCTGGCATTCTGCGGGGGGAAGTGTGCTTCTCGCTTGTTGTCAGTGTGAATGCACAGGTTATCTCACTCAGCAGGGTCTAATCTGTTACAGTCCTTCCTTCCATCTTGGAGTGTCCTCCGTTTGGCCAGTGGGACCCCTTGAGCTGGTTTTTGTCTTCTTTCATTATAGCCCCATCATTTTTCAGTGCTGCCTTACTGGGTGGCACAGCAGAATATTCACATTTGTCTGGTTTTCCCTGTTCCAGCTCTAGAAGCAGCCATGTCTCTAATGAGCCCTATGGGGAAGGAGGAAACTGAGTCTACAGTGGTTCCTCCCAATTGCCATAAATAAAATTAAAAAAAAAAATAGCAGGGACTTTAACTGTTTCACCTCAACAAGGGACTCCCAAAGGAGGTTGACATGGACTGGAACGCTTTGCCAGACCATCTCCCAGCACAAGTGTTTACCGACGGTGGCACTGCTGGCTAGCTGTGCCTGTGAAGCCCAGCCTCTGCATCCTCATAGCTTCTATACTCCTGGATGGGTAGGTGGGCTTGGGAGGGCCAGGCCTTGTCCACTCACAGAAGCTCCTGTGTCCACAGCTTGATTCAGCTGGAAGCCTTCCTGACCCGCCTGTGCTGTACCTGTGAGTCAGCCTACCGTGTGCTACACTGGGAGAACCCCATGGTGTCCTCACAGTGAGTGGGCCCCTTCCTTTCCACCCGCTGCTGCTGCCGCCCTGTAGGAATCTGTGGATTGAACACCCCCACCACCACCCCTGCCAAGTGAAGCCAGCGAAAAGGCTTCTGCCCCACCCACCTCCGGAGAGGAGCACACCATGGCCCTAGGGTGTGGGTCTGCACATATGCTTTTGAGCCTAAATGATTGCTTTTGTGTAGGTGCCATTTTAAAAGATACACAGTAACAGTACTCGAATAATAGGCAAGTAACTCACTGTGTAATCTACCACCCTGCTATACAGCTGAGCTCATGTTCAGTTGCCTTCTGGACTGCTCATGTGCCTATCAGCTTCATGTTGCTTTTTGAATTTGTTTATTTAATTATATATATATATATCATATATATATATATATATATGTAATATATATATATAATATACAAATGTTTTGCCTGCATGTTTGTATGTCTATATGCATGTGTGTATACCCTGAGGATGCTGGTAATCAAACATGGTCCTCTACAAGAGCCCAAAGTGTCCTAGGCCAATGAGCCACCTCTCTAGCCTGTGTGTGAAATCTCTCTCTTCATTAATTACATCATAAGTGGTCACAACAAAGTCTTTGGAATTATTTTGTAATGTGGACTGTGAATGATTGTAATTTGTGAAGGTGTTCTGTTATATATTTAGATAAGTTCTACTTTTCATTACTAGCCTTATAGTGAACATTTTGGTGGACTTAGTTTTAATTTTTTGAAAAATTTTTAATGATGAACTTAGAAGATGAAATTGCTGCATACATGGAATGCATATTTTTGAGGCTTTCCTATATCAATAATGGCTATAATGTCTGTCTCGGCTTCACTGTGTGCCAGGCCCATGCTCAGAGGTTCCTGTTTATTGTCTGTCTTTTTCTAGTGATCCCGTGGAGTAGATGCTGTTTAACCTGTACTTTATAGGTGAATGAAGTAATGCTTGAGAACCAAGGGACTTGTCACAGAGACAGTGGCAGAGTTTGTTTTAGCTCTTTAGTTTGTTTTAGTCTGTGTCTAGACTTCAGAGCCTAGACCCTTCCAGCAATGGCAGCTGAGCCAGCGCCATGGACTCCCTGCTTGAGACACAGTGTGGTTTCACTGGTGTCACTTGATAGACACCAACAACTTGGCACTTCCGAGTACTTCCTCAGCAGTTCCACACTGGTTTGATTGGCAGGTCTTGCCAGTTTGTGTCCAAAGCTGTTTCTCACCTGGTGCTCCCCATCACTTCCTCCTGATCTTGGACTTTGTGTTCATCCAGGTTCTATGGCGCTCTCCTGGGCATGGTTTGCATGCTCTACCTGCTGCCTCTCTGCTGGGTCCTTGCCCTTTTAAACAGCACGCTCTTTCTGGGAAACGTGGAATTCTTCCGAGGTAAGCCCCCAGAGAGCCTGACAGCTGGGCCGAGACCCACCTGAGGACCTGTTTAGGCTTCCTGCTTCTGTATGTTTGCTGTGCTTGCCACAGGGGGCAGCTTTGCACCAGGGTATCTCTGGGAGTGTGCTGGGCTTGGGTGTCTGACCGTTCTCTAAGGTGACTGCCATTAGAGGGTTCCCTCTCTTTTTTTTTTTTTTTTGAGACAGGGTTTCTCTGTGTAGTTTTGGTGCCTGTCCTGGATCTTGCTCTGTAGACCAGGCTGGCCTCAAACTCACAGAGATCCCCTGGCTCTGCCTCCCGAGTGCTGGGATTAAAGGTGTGCGCCACCACCGCCCGGCTTCCCTCTCCCTTTTCAAGGCAGATCCATCACTGCTTACTGATATGTTGGCTTGTAGAAGATAAGGGAGGGGTCTTTCCCCTAAATTGCTGCCTACTCTTGCACTGTGGCCACCTGGAGTGGCTGCCACATCTCCGTGTGACCCCGAGTCTGCTGTCTGGCTTCTGGATGCTGGGCAGTCTGGAGTGGCCCTGTGCTTGGTGATTGCTCTCCTTGCTTTCCCTCTGTCCTTAGTTCATGGTCACTTGCTGGAGTGACTCTCTGGAGCAGAGGGGTGAGTGCTGATAGAGAACACTTCTGGAGTGCCACTTGCTGTGTCTCTGGGAAAGTACCTCTAGAGTTCTTTCTGGAGTTTTTTCTTTTTGTTTAGACACGGTCTCACGTTGTAGTCCTAGCTCACTGGAATCTTTTTATGTAGACCAGACTGGCCTTGAATGCACAGAGATCTATCTGCTTCTGCCTCCCGAGTGCTGAGGTTAAAGGTGTGGTGTGCACCACCACAGCCCATTTACTGTGTCTTCTGTCCCCTCTGACCCTAGTCTCCATTCCCTCTGCAGTGGTGTCTGAGTACAGGGCTTGTCTGCAGCGGCGGATGAACCCCCGGCAGGAAGAGTATGCCTGTGAGAGTTCAGCACTGCAGGATGCCGAGGGAAGGAGTTCTCTGCTGGACAGCACACCTGACCCTACACCCACAGAGGTGAGTGTCCTGCTGTTGGCAAGCGGGTCCTCCTTTGTGTCTTTTTTTCCTCCCTCTTGTTTATAAGGCATAGCTTCTGGGCTGGGGCTGTGGGGCTTTCCTGCCTAGTCTCTGGGATGCTTAGTAATAAAAAGTGCAATGAAACAGCTGCCTGGGCTTTTCTGAGCACTTGGTCTGTGCCTGGGGCTGCACTAAGTGCCCGTGGGGTGTGAGCACTTGCTCTGTGTCCCGGGCTGCACTAAGTGCCCGTGGGGTGTGAGCACTTGCTCTGTGTCCCGGGCTACACTAAGTGCCCGTGGGGTGTGCGCACTTGCTCTGTGTCCGGGGGTGCACTAAGTGCCCGTGGGGTGTGAGCACTTGCTCTGTGTCCCGGGCTACACTAAGTGCCCGTGGGGTGTGAGCACTTGCTCTGTGTCCGGGGGTACACTAAGTGCCCGTAGGGTGTGAGCACTTGCTCTGTGTCCCGGGCTACACTAAGTGCCCGTGGGGTGTGAGCACTTGGTCTGTGTCCCGGGCTACACTAAGTGCCCGTGGGGTGTGAGCACTTGGTCTGTGTCCCGGGCTGCACTAAGTGCCCGTGGGGTGTGAGCACTTGCTCTGTGTCCGGGGGTGCACTAAGTGCCCGTGGGGTGTGAGCACTTGGTCTGTTTCTGGGGGTGCACTAAGTGCCCGTGGGGTGTGAGCACTTGGTCTGTGTCTGGGGGTGCACTAAGTGCCCTGTGGGGTGTGAGCACTTGGTCTGTGCCCGGGCTTAACTAAGTGCCCGTGGGGTGTGAGCACTTGGTCTGTGTCTGGGGCTGCACTAAGTGCCCCGTGGGGTGTGAGCACTTGCTCTGTGTCCGGGTGCTGCACTAAGTGCCCGTGGGGTGTGAGCACTTGGTCTGTGTCTGGGGGTGCACTAAGTGCCCCGTGGGGTGTGAGCACTTGGTCTGTGCCTGGGGGTGCACTAAGTGCCCCATGGGGTGTGAGCACTTTGTCTGTGCCTGGGGGTGCACTAAGTGCCCGTGGGGTGTGTCTTGAGGATGGGGATGAGATCATTTCCAGTGGCACAAGAGAAGGCTGAGGCACAGAGTGGCTGCCAAAGGCTTTTAGCTGGTAAACAGCTGGGTCTTGGGTAGACTCTGACGGTTAGTTACTGTGGTCCAGCGGAGTCTTGTTCTGTGGTCATGCCCATGGGGTTAGAGGGTGCTCTTTCTTGTGATTGCCTCTTTCCTGCAGCTGTGCAGTTTGCTGGGGCGGGGACCAGGGGTTTTGGAGCCTAGCCACTGGCTCTCAGCAGGTGGCTCTCTACCCTAGGGACCAGGGTTGCCAACCCTTTTGCCATAGAGTTTTTCTTCCTAGGACCTCACGCCAGGCAGTGTGGAAGAGGCTGAGGAGGCTGAGCCAGATGAAGAGTTCAAAGATGCAATTGAGGTGGGTGGCCTTCTCCCAGTCCCCTCTACTGACCAGGCCAGATGTTGGGTGGGCTGAGAGCTGTACTTTTTGTTTTTTATTTTTTTCCGCTAACATCCACATGGGAAACCAGAACTTGATCTGAGCTGGAAATTCACTGGTTGAAAGAGTGCCACTGGCCCCTCCCTTCTCTCCTCATCTGTCTTGAGAGCCCAGGGCAGGGCTGGCTCTGCTAGCCTATGTAAACCACTGTTGGGGGGCAGTGGTTTGTCACCTGGGCTTGAGGTTATGATGTCATGTTTGGAGGAGGCGCCTGCCCTGTGCCTCTGCCTATCTGTAGACTGAGTTCCGTAGATGTTCCTTTGGGAGGGTGGAGAAAGCAGTTGCCTGGCCAAGTGCTGGTTCAGGGGAAGTTCAGCAGCCTTGATTTAGACAGTGATTTAGATTGGTAGTTTGAAGACGTGTTTTCTTTGGCTTGTAAACTTTTAAAATAGTTTGTTGAGCCAGTGTTTGAAACAGGGTGAATTTCAGTTAGAACTGTAGACTTGCTACTTTCCTAGCATCTCAGAGTCTGCGGCAGTCAGTATAGCTGAGGGGCCATTGTCTCCTCCTGTTGGACAAGTCTCAAGGTTGCTCAGCTGGGAGAGGTGCTTGTTGCCAAGTCTGATGGTCTGAGTTTGGTCCCCAGAACCCTCATGGTGGAGGGAGAGACATGACTCTGGAAAGTGTCCTCTGAGAGGTTTTTGGAAGAGCAAGAGGCTTGTGGTTTTAACTGGGCCCTGGCTATCTGCTGACTTGCCCCTCAGACCCACCCAGTCCATTTCAGCTGTGACTGCGAGAGATTTCCTCAAGTTGGTAATGGTTGTAGGCTTGATCTGTGGAAGATGGAGATAGCTGTGGCAGGGCTTTCCAAGCATTTTTGTTCATGACCCAAGTAAGGAATACATTTTTAGATCCAGACCCAGTTCATCCTTAGTTCTGTAAAATGTGTGGAACTTAAGTGAAACACAGCCCAAAAGACTATTGTGAGGGGTGTTTCCTTTCCTACTCTGTTCTCTTGCACTGTGTATGACCAGCGGCAATAGAGTCACGCCAAGCTTTCTCTAAGCTTCCATGGGTCTGGGCTGCTTCCAGAGAGCCCACCTATTGACCTCACCCTGCGGGAAGTACTCAGGGCTCGGGATGGCACAGCAGTTCCCCTGCCTCTCCTGCTCCTCCCTGCCTGCCAGCTCTCTCTGTTTTCTCCTCTTCTTCCCCGCACCCTGGGAGGCAGGAGACCCACCTGGTGGTGCTGGTAAGTAGAAGCGGGGTGAAAGGGGCAGGGCTGCTTAACTGGGCCCCACTTCATGGGCCACCATGCCCAGGGGCCTCTGCATGCAGGACCTGGGCTGTTGTAAGTGATGAGCGGGACTGGAATAAGCTCTTCCCACAGGAGGATGATGAGGGCACCCCGTGCCCAGCAGAGGATGAGCTGGCCCTGCAGGACAATGGGTTCCTCAGTAGGAACGAGGTGTTGCGCAGCAAGGTGTCACGGCTTACAGAACGGCTCCGCAAGCGCTATCCCACCAACAACTTTGGTATGCCAAAGAAGTGGATTGGAGGGGGGGGTGGCTAGGGCGGGTGGGACACCTGGGCCACAGGAGCAGAGTCCAAGAATTGTGGGCACTTGTAAAGATGCCCATGGCACCTTGGGGAATGTGCAAATGTCTCAGGACGTGTGAGTGTGGCATGAGTGTGGGTCTTTTCATGTCCACCTCTCATTGTCGAATATTAGCTGACAGGAAGAGAAGGTACCCTTGGCCCAGGCTACAGAGAGCTGTGATCCCTAGGCAGCAGAACTTGACAGCAAATACTAGCTCAGCCAGTGTCCTTGGGCAAATTATGCCTCAGTTTCCCCTTCTGTAAGAGAAAGTTCTTGTTGGGTTGTTGTGGATAGCATGACAGTGCATGCCAAGAGTTAGCACAGGGCCAGGCTGGCTCTTGGTAACTGGGTGCTGCTCGTGTGGGAGGTGCTGGCGGGCCTGTGTGTCCTTGAGAACCTGTCTTGGTCGTTGTGACCTGGCTATCTGCAGTTACGGGTACCTTCTTCTGGGCATGGTACTTTTCTGAGGTCACTTGTTGCCAAAGTTGTAGTTTGGTTAGTCTGCATTTTGGGGGGTTGTGGGTAGATCAAGGACAGAGTTTGAAGGGTGGGTCTGACTCTGAGCACAGCTTGGGGACTAGGCTCTGATATGGATAGAGTCCTCGTGAGAGCCTAGAGAAACCGGTGACTGAGAGTCACTGTGGTCTTTGACTTGTGTGTTCCCGTGTTTAGGGAGTTTGAGGGAGGGGAAATCCCTGGATTTATCTTCAGGAGTTTGAGGGCCTCTGGGGCCTGCCTTCCTGCCCCTGACTCATGGTGTGGTTGTCTTTTCAGGTTAGGTGTCCTGGACCTGCTGCTTTCTTTCATGTGTCAATATCCCTAAGTGCTGAGGATCACTTTTATTTGTGTTGACTCCTGGCCTTGATAGACACACTCTAGGCTCAGGGTCCTTCCATAAACATACTGTCATTTCTCAGGTGGATGGGGTGGGCAGGCAGATCCTCTGGGCCCAGGAGCAGCAAAGGGATGTTTGCCTCAGACATCTCTGCCATGGTCCCCCTGGCTCCACAGTCTTCCTTCCTTGACCCCAGGGAATCTCTTTTTAGCAAGAGCGGTGGGTAATCCTGGCTGGACTAGAAAGGAGCTTTGGGATTGTTATGGTCAGACATGTTACCCACGAGTCACAGCTGTGTCCTGTGCTGCTGATTGCTGCCCTTCCGGATCATAGTAGGCCCCAGAACCGTTTTCTCTGTCTTCCATCTCTCCTTACATCCACCCCTTGACTGCCAGTCACCACCTGAGCTGCTCTTGGCTGTGGTGCCACTGTCTGAAGCCCCTCCATCTCGTCACCTGGGTGACTCAGGAAGGTGGTGGTCCTGCTGGCCACCAGGGCTTGAGAATCCTGCCCTCCCTCCGTGTCATGTGGAAGGTGCTTGGTTTCACACTCCTCTCTTGGAATCTTCTCATGACAGAAAGCTGGAATGTGCATTTCCTGGAGGCATATCTGTCCCTCAGCTGTGTTTGTAAGGAAACATGAAAGGGTCACATATGGTGGGCGTCACTGAGGACACCTGAGTCAGGTCCCTGATGGCTTGGCTGGATTCCAGGGAGGAGAGTCTCTGGGTGCTCCTTGATACTCTGCCAAGCTTGTGATGGGGGTGCGAGACCACTCAGTGTTGGGAGGGTGCAAGAATCAGAGCTGTGGGTAGCCTGGTGCAGCTGCTCCTAGGGGTGGGCACCTTTTCTTCTTCTGAATCCAGACTTTCCTCTCTGTACCCAGCTGAGATGCTGGGCTGTGCCAGGCTGGGGTCCTAAGTGTCCCAGTTACAAGAGTCAGGGGCAGTTCGGGTTGAGTGGCCTGGGCTGGGTCACAGCTGAGCTGCTGCCTTTGTTTCTCAGGGAACTGTGCGGGCTGTGCTGCCACTTTCTCGGTGCTGAAGAAGAGGGTAAGTCTGGGGCTGTGTGCTTGGGCAGTGTGCTGTGTCTGCTTATGTGGGACTCGGGAGAGCCATCTCCCATGAGAGTCTAGGTCTCAGGTCACAGAGGGCCGGTGCCTGTGGTTCACTCAGGCCAGTGCGTCTTCCCCTCGTCAGGCCCACACCCTTACCAGCCTTCCGTTGGCTGTTCTGTCCGGCCTCATTCCCACCCCACAGAGGCCCCTCTTCATCTTCCAGGATTGGACGATAGGAGGAAGGAAGTACTGGGGTGTCGGGTGCCTGAGGGTGGGCTCCACCTGACATTGACGTTTCTTGTTTACAGCGGAGCTGCAGCAACTGTGGGAACAGTTTCTGCTCTCGGTGCTGCTCCTTCAAGGTGCCCAAGTCCTCCATGGGGGCCACAGGTGAGGGTGCAGGCGTGGGTCAGGGCGGCTGCCCTGGGAAGGGGGTAGGGGCGTCTTGCACAGAGGAGGGCAACTCCCTTCTTTCCCCATGGAGGAGAGGTGCCCTTCTTTCCCCACGGAGGAGACCACCTGGTTGAATTTTATTTTCATTACCTCAGTAACATTTTTAACAAAATCAAAATTATTTCTCTTCCTCTCCTAAAAGCTGTACATGTTTGTTGTGAATAACACTTGTGGATGAGCAAAAGGAAGAAAATCCTCCCATGTGTCCCAGGCAGGGTGGTTGGGTGTGGGCCTCTCTGTCACTGGCATGTAGGTGGCATGAATGTGCATTGGTGTTCTTGAAAACTGGGGTTATATTTCACTTCCTGCCCTGTGCTGTGTTGTGATGTTGGGCAAGCCTTTTCCCTTCTGATCTTACAAGTAGCACATGCTTGTTAACTGTAAAATTTGGAAATTATTATAAAGAAGAAAGGAAGAGAAAAGTGATCCTGTAATCTTACCACCCAGAGATTTTTAACCACCGTTAAAACGTTTAGGGAAAATTTCCTCTGGTATTTTATTTAAAAAAAAAAAAAGGCTTTAAAAAAGTGTTTTGTTGATGCCAGAAGAATTTCCAATGCACAGAACACCTGGGAGAGGCCTGCCGTCAGCATCAGAGCCCCAGTGCTCCGGCGTGTCTGAGGGCAGGGAATGCGCTGGGTCAGGGAGGTGTGGGCTGGGCCGTGGGTGGTCTGTCTACGGACTGGGGAGGCTAATTCAGTATTGGCGCCTTGAGCCTAAAGGGTACAAAGAACCGTCTCACCGCGTTCTTCTTCCTTTCCAGCTCCTGAAGCCCAGAGAGAGACTGTGTTTGTGTGTGCCTCCTGTAATCAGACCTTGAGCAAGTGAGAAGAGGAGAGAGAGAGGCCAGGCTCCCTCTGTCCCGGGGCCAGCAGTAGACCCTCCTCTCCCAACCCTGGTCCTCTGAGGCGTGTGCTGGGCAAATGTAGCCTGACAGCTAGGTCCTTCCTGCCCTTCCCCTGCTGCCTCCAGCTGGGCTGGTGATCCTCTAAGGCCCACGGGGAGAGGAGTCCCTGGAGCTGTTTGCCCTGAACCACCCTGTGCCCTGTTGATTCTGGACTGGCCAGAGAATGTCCACCAGAGGGCGGAATTGAGCATAGCCTGCTCTCGGCTGAGCTCTGATGGTCAAGGCCAGACTGACCTTAGGCTCTAAGAGACCTGAGGTGGGGAAAGAGGTTCTTCCCTGTTGAGTGCCGGCCGGCTAAGCCCCAGAGAGCCTGCAGGATGACTTAGACACCATGACCTGACTCTGCCCTTTGAGTAGCCTCAGGGGCTGTTGTTTTCAGACATGATTGGAGTTCCCAGGTGCCCAGAGGAGAGTGCGCATGAGGGTACTGATCCAGTCTCTCAGTGTCAAGTGGATGGCAGCATGGGGAAGCTCTGCCTACAGGATCTTATCTCCCATGACTCTCTGGTGTCCTCAGCCCTGCTGGGATGGCTGCGAGACCCTCACATCACTCCTGCTCCTGCCCTGGGTCTAGGGCACCCCACCTCTCTTCTCTCACACTGCCACCTCTCCCTAACCCTTACTCCGTAGAACATGAGGCCAGGGGAGTGGAGCAGAGATTCTGAAAGCCCTTGGCCTTTGAGGTCCGGGAAAGTGTAGGACTTGATGGGCTGGCTCTTAGAGTCCAGGGCTGTTCCTGGAGAACAGTGTCCATTGTGGAATAAGGTCACATGATTAGTTTTATGTTCCCTCTGATCTGCCAAGGGGGCCCTGTGCCTCTTCTTAAGCCATGAGCTGGCTCAGGCCCCCCTTCCCTGGAGCTGCCCTGTCTTTTCAAAGTATTTATTTATTTATTTCATGGTTCCTGGGAGCATGCAGCGCAGGGCTGGGGTGAAGAAGATGAGGGGCTTCTGCAGGACCTTGCATCTGGGGTGCGATGAGCGACTCCCGTCTGAAGTCCTCTTTGCTGATTGGCCATGTACAGAGCAGTGAGGGTTTGGCAGTGCGGACCAAGCAGGTGAGGTGTACCCTTTGTTCTGGTGAGAGAGCATTACCTCTGTGCTTATTTATTCTGGAGAGCAGTGTAAAGGAACTGTATGGAGAATTGTCAATAAAAGGCCCCAAGCTTATGCTTTTGTCCTGTCCTTATGCCAACACTCGCCATCAGGGTGGAGACCCAGGTTTCCTAGTGCTGTTCAGATTTTTCACTTTGCCAAGGGTAGGCTGTGGGGCCGGTCTTCGCACACTTTCTGCGGCAGTGCCTGTGTGCTGCTACCCGGTCTGCGAGGGAGCCAGGCCCAGTGGAAAGCTGTGCCTTGTAAACAGGAGGGGCAGGCTTTGTCTTGTGACCAGAGTGAGGGTGGTGGATTGAGTTAGGGACCAGAATTTAAATATTAAACAATGCAGGCTTTAGAATGGAGAAGTTGTAGCTACCCCCTCTCCTTCCCCTGCAAAGCCAGAAAGGCTAGCCCTGCTGGAGGCTGAGAGCTGGTCGGAGAGGTTGCTTGGAGGTGTGAGGTGCAGGTGGCCCCTGTGATCTGAGCGAGGCAGGGTGGACTGGGTGCTGGGCACTGCACACATTATGTTAGTGCCAGTGACAAGCCCAAGGGGCACTGCTTTTCTCACAGTAAGACGGTAGTGCCCAGCAGCAGCAGTGTAAGCCAGCTCCAAGCTCAGCCCCACCTATCGTGGACCTCCTGTGTGTCATCCTACAGCTTTGGGACAAAACATGCACCTCTGTCCTGTGTCCTTACAGCAGTCATCTTTTTTTTTTTTCCTCCTTCTTCCTTTAAGCCAGAGAATAATGTAAAATCATTTTTTAGAGGAGAGTGTCAGGGGGAGTCCAGGGTATAGTTTGAAACAGTTGATGCCATCCTGTTGAAAGGAGACTGTCATTGCTCAGGAACGCTGGCTATAGGGTGTAGTCGAAGATGTGAGGAAAGGGGTTTTGCCCTTTTTGTTTCCTGGAGGCCCCTGTGAGAATGGGTGGGGGAGGCTGTCTTTAAATTCAGGTTCCATTGAGAGCAGAGCCACCAGGTTTCACCAGGACTGGGGACATTGTCACCATGGAGCTCATGGTACAGAGAATTCAAAGTGGCATGACAGACAGCTTGCCCTTTGTGGAATTAGACACATGCTAATTTGATCTTGGGCATCCAGGAAGAGGGGACAGCTAGCCAGGGTACAGTCCTGGCACCTGGAGGGGCAGGTCTGGAGGCCTGGCTCCAGCCTGGCTTGGGCTTGGGTCTGCTGAGGTTTTTGTGGTCTGGAGTGCTGATGCCTTTGGAGAGTCCTGGCATACCTGGAACAGGTGATGGTTTAGGGTGGGGGTCTTCTGCAGCCTTTGGGGCTGAAGCCAAAGGAAGCTGCATTTCCATTCCTTTTTCAGAGGTCTGTGTCTGTCTGGCCACAGCTCGCCCTATTCATGGATCACTTTGCCAGGCTGAATGCCTAGCCAGTAGCTCATTTTAATGTCCACAACACCACGGGTCCATCTAATTGGTGGGTATTTTAAGTGGGTAAATAGAGGTACAGGGAGGTTAAGTGGCCCACCCAAAATGGAATGGGAATTGTGCTGCAGGTGTTCGTAGCAGCCGTGGCCTAAGAAGCTTTGGGTAAAGGTCACATTCTGGGCAGCTTCCTCACATTCTGGTCCCCACTCTCTAAGGAGCTAGCCACTGAGCAACAAGAAGGATCTGCCCACCGAGCACCACCGCCTTCAGTCCCTAGCAGAACAGAGCTGGCCTTGTGGCGAGAGCCCCTACCTTCCCCAGCTCCCAGTGACCCCAGCTCTTGCCAGCAACACCCCAACAGCACATTCCATTCTCTGGCACTGTTGGTGGCTGGGGATTCCGGGTTCCTTTGGCTGTGAGCCTTCTCGGGGCTCCAGCAGAGCCTGCTGTCTGGGCTGGGACCCTGGGCTCTGGCCACACACATTCCAGCAACAAACACCCCCACACTAGATTTCCCAAGGAGTGAACTTTAGCCAGGATTACAGCTGGCTGTACAGCTGTGGGATGTGAGCTTGCTTTGTGGAGACCTGAGGCTGGATTATGGGAGGGGTGAGAGGGGAGAACTGGGTGGGACTTGATGGCTCCTCTGCCTCTGTCCAGGCCCTTGCAAGTGTCATCAGAGCAACTTCCGGAGCCTTCACAATTGTTTAACCTATCTCAGACCCACCTCTGTAGAAGATAGTAAGTAGTCCTCTTTTTGTGTGTGTGTGGGAGTTTTGAGACAGGGTTTCTCTGTGTAGCTCCGGCTGTCCTGGAACTAGCTCTGTAGACCAGGCTGGCCTTGAACTCACAGAGCTCCCCCTGCCTCTGCCTCCTGAGTGCTGGGATTAAAGGTGTCTGCTGCCACCATCTGGCTTAGTCCTCAGACTTTTAAACTGTAGACTCTGACTCCATGTGGTGCCCTGTAACTGGATGTGGGGTTGTGAAAAGTTTGGTAACAGTAAAAGGTTTTGGAACACTGAACAACCAAAAATTCACTCAATCAAACGTGTAACTCAAGGTGGGAGGCGTCTCTAGAGTGCTGTCCTGTGCACTGCACTACACAACACGCACCCTGTGGTCTGTGCATCCCCAGATGCCACACAGCCAGAGAATGCTGCTTGAGACACCCCAGCTCAGATGCAAGGCCATTGTGTGTTGTGCATTGCGACGTTTTTACTGAATGTTCTGTTCCTGCTCCTACAGGAACATAATGGTTTACAGAAAACAAGGACTTAATATTTGATCCCTCAGCATGTAAATATCATCAAATTAGTATGTCTTTGGATTGCATTAGGTTGGAATATTTGAGTTTAAGAAATTAACGTTGGTGGCCTGGTGAGATGGTTCACTAGGTAAAGCCTTAGCTGCATAGGCTGGATACCCGAATTTGATCCCTGGAACCTATGTTAAAAAGTCAGGGGTGGTGCATTTGTGATCTCAGCACTTCTGTAGTGAAGTAGGAGGAGACAGAAGAATTGCCCTGGAGCACACAGCAACCTGACATAAACTCGAGACCCTGCCTCAACAAGGTTAAAGGAGAGAACCAATTCTCCAGCCTCCACACATGTATGTACACAAGTAACAAAATTAAGAAAAGAAAATTACTGACCTTAGTTTCATAAAAAATTGTTTAATGATTTCATTTGGATCAGGGGTCAGGATAGAATTTCAAATAGTTTATGAAATGTCTCTAAATATACTTCTGCCATTTTGTACTGAGTGTGTGTGTGTGTGTGTGTGTGTGTGTGTGTGTGTGTGTGTGTGTGCGCGCGTGTGTGTGCAGAACAGCATTCTCAGTGTTGGTGATTATAAGTTCAAAACTGATTATCTAAAAAAAAGTGTTATTCATCCTAAAGTATCAAACAGCCACAATTTAATTCCTTATGTAAATGCAAGTACATTTGTTCCATTAGTGTGCAAATTTGCTTTCATCCCTTAAGAAGTGGTATGTGTATGCCAAAGGATTATTTTGAAATAGATTTATGGCTTATTATCAGTAAATGTTTGATTTATATACCCATTTTACATAACTATGCTTGGAAGCAAGTAAACATTTCTTGGGTGAAAGGTTGTGGGTGGGAAGTGTTTAAGAAGTCCTGGGTAAGCCAGATGGTGGTGCACACCTTTAATCCCAGCACTCAGGAGGCAGAGGCAGGCAGATCTCTGTGAGTTCAAGGCCAGCCTGGTCTACAGAGCAAGTTCCAGACCAGCCAGGGCTACACAGAGAAATCCTGTCTCTAAAAAATAAAATTAAGTCCTGGGTAGTGGTTAAGAGTTTGAGGTCAAATCTAGCACTGCTGTGGGATATTCTGTATGGCAAATGTGTTGCTCTGATTGGTTGGTAAATAAAACACTGATTGGCCAGTAGTCAGGCAGGAAGTATGGGTGGGACAAGGAGGAGAATAAAGCTGGGAAGTGGAAGGCTGAGTCAGAGACACTGCCAGCTGCCACGGTGACAAACAGCATGTGAAGATGCCGGCAAGCCACGAGCCATGTGGCAAGGTATAGATTTATAGAAATGGATTAATTTAAGCTGTAAGAACAGTTAGCAAAAAGCCTGGCACGGCCATCCAGTTAGTAAGCAATATAAGTCTCTGTGTTTACTTGGTTGGGTCTGAGTGACTGTGGGACTGGCAGGTGAGAGAGATTTGTTCTGACTGTGGGCCAGGCAGGAAAACTCTAGCTACATAGCACCACCATGTATGTTGTGCAAACTCAAACAAGGACCTTAACTTCTCTGAGCTGTAGTCACTGGTACCAAAATGAGCTACCTCTTGCAGGACAGTGTTGGCGCATGCCTTTAATCACAGCACTGGGGGGGCAGAGGCAGGTGGATCTCTCTGAGTTTGTGGCCAGGTTGTTCTACATAGTGGAGTTCTAGGCCAGTTAGGGCTACATTGTGAGATTTGATATCAAAATGGATGCTGGAGGGTTTAAATTAGAATGCAAAAGTGTGGGGCTGGAGAGATGGCTCAGAGGTTAAGAGCATTGGCATCTCTTCCAGAGGTCCTGAGTTCAATTCCCAGCAACCACATGGTAGCTGTCATCCATCTGTAATGGATGCCCTCTTGTGGTGTGCAGATGTGTATGTAGATAAAGTACCACATAAAATAAATAAATCTTTAAAAATTAAGAAAACACTTAAAATGCAGAAATGCTTGGAGTAGTGCCTGCTACCCGGCGTGACCTTGGCAGTCATGGATGTCTGTCCCCGATATTGGCTTATGTGCCACCTAGGGACACATTTCTGAAGCAAACCAACCCCCAAATGCAGTTTCCGTAATTCTGGCTTTTAGATAAGACACCCCTGCTTCTCCCTGCCATCTTGACAGTCATGTATCTCTATTGAATGAAGAATCAATTAGGAATTTTACTGAGCACCTACTGTGTGCAGGCATTGTTGGGTTACTAAAAGTACTAATAACCACTAGCAGCCATCTAAATCTGGGCATTATGTCCAGGCACTTGTCGTGTACTTGACAACACTCTGTCACCCTGGGGGGGAGGTAGTATACTCAGTGTCACTGGTCCTGATTTGTAGGACAGGAGGCCAGAACTGGACTGCCTTTTCCTCCCCACCATGAGTGTGTGGTCCCCCGCTCCAAGTCGCTCCTGTTTTGTGTGAGAACTTAGTG